CAGGAGTCTACACAACACAGTAACAATGTGTCAGACAAGTCACCCTCCACCACCTGACTACACACAGACCGCCCGGCCAGGACCCGCTCAAGGTGGTGCAGGAGTCTGCACAACAAAGTAACAATGTGTCAGACAAGTCTCCCTCCTCCACCTGACTACACACAGACCACCCGGCCAGGACCTGCTCAAGGTGGTGAAGGTGTCTACACAACACAGTAACAACGCATAAGACAAGTCTCCCTCCTCCACCTGACTACACACAGACCGCCCGGCCAGGACCTGCTCAAGGTGGTGCAGGAGTCTACACAACACAGTAACAATGTGTCAGACAAGTCATCCTCCCTCCTCATCCTGACTACAGACAGACCACACGGCCAGGACCCACTCAAGGTGGTGCAGGAGTCTACACAACACAGTAACAATGTGTCAGACAAGTCATCCTCCCTCCTCCACCTGACAACAGACAGACCGCCCGGCCAGGACCCGCTCAAGGTGGTGCAGGAGTCTGCACAACAAAGTAACAACGTGTCAGACAAGTCACCCTCCACCACCTGACTACACACAGACCGCCCGGCCAGGACCCGCTCAAGGTGGTGCAGGAGTCTGCACAACAAAGTAACAATGTGTCAGACAAGTCTCCCTCCTCCACCTGACTACACACAGACCACCCGGCCAGGACCTGCTCAAGGTGGTGAAGGTGTCTACACAACACAGTAACAACGCATAAGACAAGTCTCCCTCCACCACCTGACTACAGACAGACCGACTGGCCAGGACCCGCTCAAGGTGGTGCAGGAGTCTACACAACACAGTAACAATGTGTCATACAAGTCATCCTCCCTCCTCCACCTGACTACAGACAGACCACCCGGCCAGGACCCGCTCAAGGTGGTGCAGGAGTCTACACAACACAGTAACGATGTGTCAGACAAGTCATCCTCCTCCACCTGACTACAGACAGACCGCCCGGCCAGGACCCGATCAAGGTGGTGCAGGAGTCTACACAACACAGTAACAATGTGTCAGACAAGTCATCCTCCCTCCTCATCCTGACTACAGACAGACCATCCGGCCAGGACCCGCTCAAGGTGGTGCAGGAGTCTACACAACACAGTAACAACGCATAAGACAAGTCTCCCTCCACCACCTGATAAAGACAGACCGACCGGCCAGGACCCGCTCAAGGTGGTGCAGGAGTCTACACAACACAGTGACAACGCATAAGACAAGTCATCCTCCTCCACCTGACTACAGACAGACCGCCCGGCCAGGACCCGCTCAAGGTGGTGCAGGAGTCTACACAACACAGTAACAATGTGTCAGACAAGTCATCCTCCCTCCTCCACCTGACAACAGACAGACCACCCGGCCAGGACCCGCTCAAGGTGGTGCAGGAGTCTACACAACACAGTAACAATGTGTCAGACAAGTCATCCTCCCTCCTCCACCTGACTACACACAGACCGCCCGGCCAGGACCTGCTCAAGGTGGTGCAGGAGTCTACACAACACAGTAACAATGTGTCAGACAAGTCATCCTCCCTCCTCATCCTGACTACAGACAGACCACATGGCCAGGACCCACTCAAGGTGGTGCAGGAGTCTACACAACACAGTAACAATGTGTCAGACAAGTCATCCTCCCTCCTCCACCTGACAACAGACAGACCGCCCGGCCAGGACCCGCTCAAGGTGGTGCAGGAGTCTGCACAACAAAGTAACAACGTGTCAGACAAGTCTCCCTCCTCCACCTGACTACACACAGACCACCCGGCCAGGACCTGCTCAAGGTGGTGAAGGTGTCTACACAACACAGTAACAACGCATAAGACAAGTCTCCCTCCACCACCTGACTACAGACAGACCGACTGGCCAGGACCCGCTCAAGGTGGTGCAGGAGTCTACACAACACAGTAACAATGTGTCATACAAGTCATCCTCCCTCCTCCACCTGACTACAGACAGACCACCCGGCCAGGACCCGCTCAAGGTGGTGCAGGAGTCTACACAACACAGTAACGATGTGTCAGACAAGTCATCCTCCTCCACCTGACTACAGACAGACCGCCCGGCCAGGACCTGCTCAAGGTGGTGCAGGAGTCTACACAACACAGTAACAATGTGTCAGACAAGTCATCCTCCCTCCTCATCCTGACTACAGACAGACCATCCGGCCAGGACCCGCTCAAGGTGGTGCAGGAGTCTACACAACACAGTAACAACGCATAAGACAAGTCTCCCTCCACCACCTGATAAAGACAGACCGACCGACCAGGACCCGCTCAAGGTGGTGCAGGAGTCTACACAACACAGTGACAACGCATAAGACAAGTCATCCTCCTCCACCTGACTACAGACAGACCGCCCGGCCAGGACCCGCTCAAGGTGGTGCAGGAGTCTACACAACACAGTAACAATGTGTCAGACAAGTCATCCTCCCTCCTCCACCTGACTACAGACAGACCACCCGGCCAGGACCCGCTCAAGGTGGTGCAGGAGTCTACACAACACAGTAACAATGTGTCAGACAAGTCATCCTCCCTCCTCCACCTGACTACAGACAGACCACCCGGCCAGGACCCGCTCAAGGTGGTGCAGGAGTCTACATAACACAGTAACAATGTGTCAGACAAGTCTCCCTCCTCCACCTGACTACAGACAGGCCATCCGGCCAGGACCCGCTCAAGGTGGTGCAGGAGTCTACACAACACAGTAACAATGTGTCAGACAAGTCTCCCTCCTCCACCTGACTACAGACAGACCGACCGGCCAGGACCCGCTCAAGGTGGTGCAGGAGTCTACACAACACAGTAAGAATGTGTCAGACAAGTCTCCCTCCTCCAACTGACTACAGACAGACCGACCGGCCAGGACCCGCTCAAGGTGGTGCAGGAGTCTACACAACACAGTAACAATGTGTCAGACAAGTCTCCCTCCTCCACCTGACTACAGACAGACCAACCGACCAGGACCCGCTCAAGGTGGTGCAGGAGTCTACACAACACAGTAAGAATGTGTCAGACAAGTCTCCCTCCTCCACCTGACTACAGACAGACCGACCAGCCAGGACCCGCTCAAGGTGGTGCAGGAGTCTACACAACACAGTAAGAATGTGTCAGACAAGTCTCCCTCCTCCAACTGACTATAGACAGACCACCCAGCCAGGACCTGCTCAAGGTGGTGCAGGAGTCTACACAACACAGTAACAATGTGTCAGACAAGTCATCCTCCCTCCTCCACCTGACAACAGACAGACCGCCCCGCCAGGACCCGCTCAAGGTGGTGCAGGAGTCTACACCATACAGTAACAATGTGTCAGACAAATCATCCTCCCTCCTCCACCTGACAACAGACAGACCGCCGTGCCAGGACCCGCTCAAGGTGGTGCAGGAGTCTACACAACACAGTAACAACGCATAAGACAAGTCTCCCTCCACCACCTGACTACACACAGACCGCCTGGCCAGGACCCGCTCAAGGTGGTGAAGGTGTCTACACAACACAGTAACAACGCATAAGACAAGTCTCCCTCCTCCACCTGACAACACACAGACCACCCAGCCAGGACCCGCTCAAGGTGGTGCAGGAGTCTACACAACACAGTAACAATGTGTCAGACAAGTCATCCTCCCTCCTCCACCTGACTACAGACAGACCACCCGGCCATGACCTGCTCAAGGTGGTGCAGGAGCCTACATAACACAGTAACAATGTGTCAGACAAGTCTCCCTCCTCCACCTGACTACAGACAGACCACCCGGCCAGGACCCGCTCAAGGTGGTGCAGGAGTCTACACAACACAGTAACAATGTGTCAGACAAGTCTCCCTCCTCCACCTGACTACAGACAGACCACCCGGCCAGGACCCGCTCAAGGTGGTGCAGGAGTCTACACAACACAGTAACAATGTGTCAGACAAGTCTCCCTCCTCCAACTGACTATAGACAGACCGACCGGCCAGGACCCGCTCAAGGTGGTGCAGGAGTCTACACAACACAGTAACAATGTGTCAGACAAGTCTCCCTCCTCCACCTGACTACAGACAGACCACCCGGCCAGGACCCGCTCAAGGTGGTGCAGGAGTCTACACAACACAGTAACAATGTGTCAGACAAGTCTCCCTCCTCCACCTGACTACAGACAGACCACCCGGCCAGGACCCACTCAAGGTGGTGCAGGAGTCTACACAACACAGTAACAATGTGTCAGACAAGTCTCCCTCCTCCACCTGACTACAGACAGACCTACCGGCCAGGACCCGCTCAAGGTAGTGCAGGAGTCTACATAACACAGTAACAATGTGTCAGACAAGTCTCCCTCCTCCAACTGACTACAGACAGACCACCGGCCAGGACCCGCTCAAGGTGGTGCAGGAGTCTACACAACACAGTAACAATGTGTCAGACAAGTCTCCCTCCTCCACCTGACTACAGACAGACCACCCGGCCAGGACCCGCTCAAGGTGGTGCAGGAGTCTACACAACACAGTAACAACGCATAAGACAAGTCACCCTCCACCACCTGACTACACACAGACCGCCCGGCCAGGACCCGCTCAAGGTGGTGAAGGTGTCTACACAACACAGTAACAACGCATAAGACAAGTCTCCCTCCTCCACCTGACAACACACAGACCACCCAGCCAGGACCCGCTCAAGGTGGTGCAGGAGTCTACACAACACAGTAACAATGTGTCAGACAAGTCTCCCTCCTCCACCTGACTACAGACAGACCACCCGGCCATGACCCGCTCAAGGTGGTGCAGGAGTCTACACAACACAGTAACAATGTGTCAGACAAGTCTCCCTCCTCCAACTGACTACAGACAGACCGACGGGCCAGGACCCGCTCAAGGTGGTGCAGGAGTCTACACAACACAGTAAGAATGTGTCAGACAAGTCTCCCTCCTCCAACTGACTATAGACAGACCGACCGGCCAGGACCCGCTGGTGAAGACCTATTTCAGCCTGCATGACATTACCATGATTATTGAGTGCTCACCTGCATGACTCACACAGCTGGAAGAAGGTGGTCGTGTCCTTCAGCTTCAGGCCACCAGTCTTCCTCTTCTTGCTGATGCCTCCAACCGCCTGCCCCCGCGACGCCTCCACAAACCCCCGGGAACCTGACACAAACCACCCATATGCATATACGGACATGTAGAATGACTACCGCCTAGCTAGAGATAAGCAGTGTATTCGCGTAAAATATCCCCCACAAATAATCAAAACCCAATAACTGTCAATTAACTTGCGTACAGAAACGCATGTATTAAATGAAAAACTCAAATGTATAAAAACAGCACGCATTAATACCCAATGACGCTTTCTTCAGAATGCATACAAAGGAGTAAATTTTCGAAACACGATTACGAACTTTATTTACTTTCCGAGTCAAGCCTATATATTAAGAAAGTTATGTACATCTAAAACATTATTTCATTTTTTTTCTTAAATCTTAAAATGTTCACTAATTTTGGGAAAAACCCAAAGAGTGATGAATAGATGAGTGAAAAAATATTGGTTACTCAAAAAAAATGTAATAACCCAATTCAAATAGAAACCCTAGCGTAAAAACTCAATTGCTCAAAATGTTATCTGGAGCTCTGGTACCACCACAAACCCACATGACCAAGGGCAACATCTGGTGTACCATCCATACCTTGTAGATACTTCCACTTTCACAAAAGAACTGAATCCTCAACTCCAGCCCCAGACAACCCCATGTTTGACACAAACCCCCAGGAACCTGCCACTAACCATCCACATACACCTATAAGGGATATTTTATGTGTCCAGTGAAATACGATGTACCTCTCATCTCATGATGTGGAAAAGGATATTTTTCCGCAGCCATGAGTGAAATATCTTCTCTTCCACGACAGATGTACATCATATTTCACTGGAAACATGAAATATCCTACCTATTTTATACTTCATTTGTTGTTTGACAGTTATTTTCAATGAAATTCCCAAAACAATAAAAAAGCAAATTCTAAATTCACCCTTGCATACACACTGGCCTTTTCACACATGGCTTCCTACATGCAAACAAGATATAGTGCTAATTAAAAAAATATATAAAAAAAGTAATTAAAAATAATAATAAACTCCATAAAATACTTGAACTATTTTTTTTAATTAATGGAGTGCTGAGATTCTATTTTACACTTTCTGAATTAATGAACACTTATATTCTGTTTGAGGTATTTAATCTAATCACGGACGCTCTAAAATATCAAATTTTGAACAGCAAACATGGCGCTGAACGAATCCGGGAGTTGTGATAAGTTAGCAATTCATTTGAAGCACAGCTGTTAAAACAGGAAGAGTTTCAAACAAATAACACATCAGAAGAACTGTTATCCAGTAAATCTTTTACTGGATGTAAAATATCTTCACTGTCAACACAGAAATGTAAGTGTTCCGAAACCCATGACAGACGCACCGGCAGGTAACTTCATTACCTGTAGTTCCAGCAAAGTGGTATTTTTACTGCAGTTAACATACCGTATTACTTTTCTGTCACTGTCGTGAAAATATTACTTTTCTGTCACTGTCGTGAAAATATTACTTTTCTGTCACTGCTGTGAAAATATTAAAGTCTTTCACACTTAAGTATATAATAAATTGTGAGATACGGGACACACCTTCACAAAGTTGGAACAGTCACAGTGCTAAGATGGCCTTGTGGAATAGATTCCATACATTATAAATTTTCAATTATAACAATTATGTAGTCATGTCTATTGTAAAACAAGAACAACAAAATATATACTACTACATAGCATGTTGGGTTGGGACGGGTAACTCGGGTACTCGGGTTGGGTGGATCCTGAGTGAGACCTGGGTACCCACATGACTCTCCAGACCCGTGGTTAGTCACGTGACATACTGTTTAAGGACATTAACAATAAAACTCAATGGTTTAAATACACTACAAGTATAGCTAATGTTCACATTTCTTTCTCACTTTGCAGGCATTCGTTCTGACTTTTACATGTTCGAGTAAGGATAAAGCGTCTATCAAATGTAGAGTATACATTATCAGATCATTTATACGTGTATCTAAATAGTTTTTGCCAGGGCTGCAGTAAAACAATTCCCATTCGGACATTTTGTACCCAGCTCTTGAGACCTATAGCGGGTATCTGGGTAGGACCGGGAAATGGGTGCCGGGTACCCGGGTAGTAAATTTGGACTCGCCCCAGCTCTAACAGCATGGATGGGTGAGTTAGTGAGGGAGCCAGGTCTTACTCCTGTTGAAGCAATACCTAAGCAAATTTGGGGATTGCCGGATATGACCTTCACACATTGTATCCATGTGGGGAATCGAACACAGGCCTGACTTGAAAAAGCATGACAGGGCAAGATTAACTCTGTGTGTGTGTGTGTGTGTGTGTGTGTGTGTGTGTGTGTGTGTGTGTGTGCGTGTGCGTGCGCGAATAAAATGTAGATGATGCGTACCCATGACCTGTGTGTGCTGCAGTGTCGTGGTGAGAGCGGCCCACTCTGTGCTGTCATACAGCACTGCCTGTGGGCCACACAACAAAGATTCCACAAAGCGAGTCCGACCCTTGGCCACAAAGTGTCCGAAGTGAGACAACTCCACCGCCTGCAGCCAGCCCTGAAACCAAGGAGAGGACTGTCTGGTGCGTGGGACACTACAGTTGTGAACATGATACATCAATATTCAACACTTGTTAAGCTTGGGAGCATCTGAAAACCATCCAGTTTACAGTGATGGCCCAAAAGAACATATTTAGTGGTGATTTGACAAGAAATAAATGGAATCAGGACATTTTCATAATCTTATCAACTTTTGATAGAACATACTTCTACACTATTACCAGATTTAAACTATGTCCTTAGAACAGTTTGATGACAGTCAGGGTCCTAGAGAATGAAATGATATGAAACCATGATTTGGCAGTGAGTGAGTGAGTATGATTTTACACCACTTTCACCAATATTCCAGCAATATCACTTTGTGGAACACCAGAAATTGGTTTCACGAATTGTATTCATGTTGGGAAATAAACAATTCTCTTAGTCTGTTAAACCGAGACTACTAAATTGTACAGAGGACAAGTTAAATTCCAGTAATGGTAGTCCTCATGGACTACTCGCATTTAAGGGCTTGTTTATGAACTGGTTCTCAATGTTTCAATTTTGCTAAAAACATGACAAATTGGAAATGAATAAAACTGAAAGAAAATGTAATCATAGTAAACATGGTAGCAGGACAAGCTACCAACTCCTCGGACTTGTGAAATAAGGATTACAATACTCCTCTGGATTTTCTTAAAAAAACAAATTTATAAGCCCCTAAGCAACACAATACTTTGGTGAACCTCAGCGTCTGAAGGATAGGGCATGTTCAAGAGAATCCTGTTTGTCTGGAGCATCTAGATATTTCACAGGTTGTCAATACATGTACCCTGTAACTGTAGGAGTCATGACAGACCTTCCCTTGACATGAGTGAGTGAGCATGGTTTTATGCCACTTTTAGCAATATTCCAGCAATATCACAGTGGGGACACCAGAAATGGGCTTCACACATTGTACCATTGTACATTACATGTCGGGAATCGAACCCGGGTCTTCGGCATGACGATGGAACGCTTTAACCACAAGGCTACCCAACCGCCCCCCCTCTTGCCATGAAGAAACATTGTCGAGATAACTTGTTCACATGTTCTGGCCATGATATTGCAGGAATAAAAAGCGTCATAAAATAACACGAGATTTTTTAACAATAAAGGATCAGGGCGCCGTTGTACAAAACAACCTATCAGTACGACTGTCGTAAGTCTGTGTAAAGGTATGGGCTCAGATCGCTTTGTACACTCGGGTATCTCAAGTCCCCCAAGTTGTTGTCACATGACCCCTTGAGTATTGAAATGAATCTGAATATCACGGATATGATAACATTGTGATGGTTCTCACCAGGTCGATGACCTTCCCTTCTATCTGATTATGTGGGTTTGCTGGTGTGAAGAACTGGTCATCATGCCCAACATAAACCACTAGAATAATGTTGTGTCGAGCTTGCTCCCCTCGCTCTCGCTGGGATGCTGCGTACCACGGACATGTCAACATCACTGCCGTCAGCACCTTCCGGGCCCGCCCTGGAAGAGATCACAAGTTGTTTACAAGTTACAACTCAGGCCAGGCTGCACCAGAAGCAGGGTTTTGCCACAAAATCAGTGTTCCTGTTTAATTACCAGTTTTTTACCGGCAAAATTGCTTGGACCGGTAATTCATTTGACTGCCAGTCCCTGTGGACCGGCAAATAAAGTACCTTATAATGTTGGTTGTTGAATAAAACATCAGCTATATTCATATAAGTATATTTTCCAACAAAGTTAGCTTGTCTCTTACCATCAGGGTTTACCCTTGTTTATTTTTATTGCAAGAAAATAACATTTGACGTGTAGATCTAACTATGTTACATCAGAAATGACATCATTGCATTTAACATGTTGTTGAAAGAATTAAAACCTGGTGATTTTCATACATTTTTTTAGCTGTTGAAAGTTGGGACTGACAAAAATTAGGGGGAACTGGTAATTTTTAGAGTTGCCAGTCCACCAGGACTTGCAGTTTCAAACGCCAGCAGGAACACTGAAAATACCCTTTGTAGTAACTTTCATATTTTGTGCTGAATAACTTTCAAATACTCTTTTTCAATAACACAACTTCTTCCAGAGTTGTCTTGCATGTGATATTTACCTTCAAACACCTTGGACAACAAAGCACCAAACTTGTCCTTGACCTCTGACGTGAGTGAGGTCGGTACATGCATCAAGGTGAGCTGTCGGAGCTCCTGGAGCGGGAGCTCATTGATAGACATTGCAACATAGTTGTCAAAGCTCCCCTCAACCTGAGATTTGATGTCACGCAGCTCATCCAGAGTTGACCGGATCTTGACGGACACTAGAAATAGGGATATTGTTATCAACTTCATTTAAAATAAGTTACATTAGAAACAGGGTCTGTTGTATCTACAGGAAAATACCAGCTAGAGCTTGACACCGATTAAATACAAGTGTTGAATAAGCATTACCAAATCATGCTGTAATTTACATAACAACCAAGAAGCTTATACTAGCTATACATTTTTCATCTATTGTCAGTAAACTATTAAAGTTCACAGATGCCTTTTTCATAGAAGTGAGGTGAGGTGAAATGGGGTTTAACGTTGCTTCCAAGATTATTGCACTTATACAGTGACGTACATGCACATCTGTGTGTGTGTATGTGGCTGCTTGTACTTGTCTGGACTGATGCCAATTTATAGTGCTAGCCCACTGAGATACCATGACGCAATTTAACAAGAATACCCCGCTCAGACACAGTATACTGACTCCGAACCGACCAGTCCTTGTTTTAGCCCCTTAATGCCCAGTGCCCGACAGGGTAACAACAAAACCATCTTTTAACATCTTTTGGTATGACGCGGCCAGGTATCAATCCCTGGACCTTTCGCTCACAAGGTGGACGCTCTACCACTAGACCATGGAGGTGGTTCCTATTTCATAAATCCTTTGTTTATCTATACAGACAATCTGGAGGGAGAGTAGTATCGGTTGTCAAAAATGAAGTAATATTTTGAAAATTTTACATTAACTTAGACTTTTATGATACTTATCCTATCTCACACTTTGCATTTCTTCCTTCTTCACCTCTTGATGTAGAAACATGCTTGAACAAAGTTTCCAGCTTCCATTTGTATTGGGGGTGACCATGGTGATGCTGGGATGTGTTCAGGCGAAATGTTCTCAGAAGCTGAAAACTTTGTTCAAGTATGTTTCCACATCCAGATCGAAAGAAGAAGGAATAAATGTATAGTGTAAGATAGGACAAGTTTAAAAATTTACTAGTTATTTGAGCAATGTTTGACAACCTCTTCACCATGGCATACAATATTTCAGTAGACTAATAACCTGCTTTGAAAGTGCCCTGCTTATTCCACAAACCTCCATCACTGTATTGCACTGGTGAGCTCTTCACCTTCAGTCGAAGTTGTTCAAGGCTTTGTAGAGACTGTGTGGCGAGCTTCAGCGCTTCAGCATCTACATCCTTCTTCTGGGGACTGACCAACATACACAGAACTTCATGTGATGAAGTGGAAAATATGGAAAACAATACAGCGTTCTTCAAGGAGTAGAATGAAATCAGTTATAAATATCACAGGAGGTTCATGTGCATTAGGGCTTGGACAGGTTTTGTTGTTTAATGCTGACCAGACAATCAAGTGATTGACATTAAGAGCATCGATCCACGCAATACGGATATGATGAAATGCATCAACCATTTCCTTTTAATCATGAAATTATGGCACGTGTGACGCCTTCTATCGGTCAAAAGTTCAACCCTCGGAAACACGCTAATATTTTTTGGAGTATTTTAAAAAAAATCTATTGATTATATTTTTACGAGGAAGATGATTTTTTCCTGAGGACTGCTATTCTAAAAAACGTGATTTTCCGTGTTTCCGCTGAGATTCCACATCCCTGTAAATATAAGGCCATTAAATTAATAATCCCATTTGATCTATACCTCAAATACCCCACCTCTTATGTTTTTATTGGCCCAAGTTCCAAGAGATGAAGAAAGTTACATTGTGTATGTGGCTAGGCGTAGATAGTAGAAGATGTTTGTTTTGTCGATCCCTTTAGTCGCCTCTCACGACAAGCATGGGTTGAAGATGTACATGTCCAGTTACTAGGCTGCTGGTCAAAATGTGAGGCAGGTTTGGATGATGATGAATTTTATTTCTTAATGAGGTGAAGTGAGGGATGCTGTAAATCAGTGTCATCCTCCAGTAGGAGAATGCAGGGGGAGGGCAGGGGAGATAGGAAGTAGAAAGAAGATAAGGAAGAGAATTTATGGATGTCAACTTCTTTATTATGAGGAACAGGACGTTACGGAGTATATCCACCTGATAAAAGAGTAAGCATATACTCCGAAACGTTGTGTTCCTCCTAAACGTTGTGTTCCTCATAACAAAGAAGTTGACATCCATAATTTCTTCCTTATGTGTATCACTTCTAAATGCCTTTCAAAGACTTATAAAGCTGGGGTAGAAACTAACAGTTTCAGTCCACTGGTCCTTATAAGGATAACATATAGCAAACCCCTTAAAAATGACAAATTTCTACTAGTCCTTATGATACCTTAACTATTGGGCAGTTTGGGTAGGACTATAGGACTAGTGCCAATTTCTAACTCTGTAAAGAAGATGACCAAAGGGCCAATTAGAATACAGACAGCACAGTTCAGAAAGGAAGTCAAATTTGGAGACCTGGGACTCCCAACTGAGTTTGAGACAACCAGGAATTCCACATATTCAAAGTCTGCCACAAAGAGGTTTGACTGTAAGTGACAGATGTGCTTTTATTGTTTCCTTAAAAATATACAAAATGAAATGCTTCTCTACTCACATTGTCTAAACAGTTTATTTATTTTAGTGAGTGAGTAAGTGAGTATGGTTTTACACCGCTTTTAGCAATATTGCAGCAATATCACGGTGGGGGACAACAGAAATGGGCTTTACATCTTGTAGCCATGTCGGGAATCAAACCCAGGTCTTCGTGTGACAAGCGAACGCTTTAACCACTTGGCTACCCGACTGCCCCTATTTATTTTAACCTTAATTAATGTATCTAAGTTTAGATTTAAAGATAGGCTCAAGTTCTACCTTGCAAACATGAAGTCCATCTCATATCGCTTCCTGTGCTAATAATGTGTACTGAAGAATGTGAAGGAATCTGAAAATTTAAGAAATAGATTAATGTATTGTTGCATGAATTTGCAGTTGAGTATACATAAATAAAACCCATTATGCTACAAGTAGTGCCTTGTGGATATTGATTACATGGATTAAAATATGAAATCAAAACTTTCTACGACCCACCCAAAAATATATAGGTCTAGATCTACAACAAGATCCAGTCTAGAGCGGAGGAGGCAGTAACATAACAATCATAGCAATACAACACACAAACTTATCGTCAGATTTGAATGGAAAATTGCTTATACAAAGGGAGACAACTGCTGGTGGTTTCACAATTGACCAACAGGCAAAGAACATCTAGATCAGCCTGAACCTGGATACTGTTAGCTTGATGACAGCTTAGGTAGTACTCGGACACAGTAGGTAATACCCGGACACAGTAGGTAATACCCAGACACAGTCTGCTGTACCCGGACACAGTCGGCAGTACCCGGACACAGTAGGTAATACTCGGACACAGTCTTCTGTAACCCGGACACAGTAGGTAATACTCGGACACAGTCGGCAGTACCCGGACACAGTAGGTAATACCCGGACACAGTCGGCAGTACCCGGACACAGTAGGTAATACTCGGACACAGTCGGCAGTACCCGGACACAGTCGGCAGTACCCGGACACAGTAGGTAATACCCGGACACAGTCGGCAGTACCCGGACACAGTAGGTAATACTCGGACACAGTCGGCAGTACCCGGACACAGTCTGCAGTACCCGGACACAGTAGGTAATACTCGGACACAGTCGGCAGTACCCGGACACAGTAGGTAATACTCGGACACAGTCTTCTGTAACCCGGACACAGTAGGTAAAACCCGGATACAGTCGGCAGTACCGGACACAGTCGGCAGTCCCCGGACACAGTAGGTAATACCCGGACACAATAGGTAATACCCAGACACAGTAGGTAATACCCGGACACAGTAGGTAATACCCGGACACAGTAGGTAATACCCAGACACAGTCTGCTGTACCCGGACACAGTCGGCAGTACTCGGACACAGTAGGTAATACCCGGACACAGTCTTCTGTACCTGGACACAGTAGGTAATACCCGGACACAGTCGGCAGTACTCGGACACAGTAGGTAATACCCGGACACAGTCTTCTGTACCCGGATACAGCAGGTAATACCCGGACACAGTCGGCAGTACTCGGACACAGTAGGTAATACTCGAACACAGTCTTCTGTACCTGGACACAGTAGGTAATACCCGGACACAGTCGGCACTACCAGACATAGTAGGTAATACTCGGACACAGTCGGCAGTACTCGGACACAGTAGGTAATACTCGAACACAGTCTTCTGTACCTGGACACAGTAGGTAATACCCGGACACAGTCTTCTGTAACCCGGACACAGTAGGTAATACTCGGACACAGTCGGCAGTACCCGGACACAGTAGGTAATACTCGGACACAGTCTTCTGTAACCCGGACACAGTAGGTAAAACCCGGACACAGTCGGCAGTACCGGACACAGTCGGCAGTCCCTGGACACAGTAGGTAATACCCAGACACAGTAGGTAATACCCAGACACAGTAGGTAATACCCGGACACAGTAGGTAATACCCGGACATAGTAGGTAATACCCGGACACAGTAGGTAATACCCAGACACAGTAGGTAATACCCAGACACAGTCTGCTGTACCCGGACACAGTCGGCAGTACTCGGACACAGTAGGTAATACCCGGACACAGTCTTCTGTACCTGGACACAGTAGGTAATACCCGGACACAGTCGGCAGTACTCGGACACAGTAGGTAATACCCGGACACAGTCTTCTGTACCTGGACACAGTAGGTAATACCCGGACACAGTCGGCAGTACTTGGACACAGTAGGTAATACCCGGACACAGTCTTCTGTACCCGGATACAGCAGGTAATACCCGGACACAGTCGGCAGTACTCGGACACAGTAGGTAATACTCGGACACAGTCGGCAGTACTCGGACACAGTAGGTAATACTCGAACACAGTCTTCTGTACCTGGAGACAGTAGGTAATACCCGGACACAGTCGGCACTACCAGACATAGTAGGTAATACTCGGACACAGTCGGCAGCACCCGGACACAGTAGGTAATACCCGGACACAGTCTTCTGTACCTGGACACAGTAGGTAATACCCGGACACAGTCGGCACTACCAGACATAGTAGGTAATACTCGGACACAGTCGGCAGTACTCGGACACAGTAGGTAATACTCGAACACAGTCTTCTGTACCTGGACACAGTAGGTAATACCCGGACACAGTCGGCACTACCAGACATAGTAGGTAATACTCGGACACAGTCGGCAGCACCCGGACACAGTAGGTAATACCCGGACACAGTAGGTAATACCCGGACACAGTCTTCTGTAACCCGGACACAGTCGGCAGTACCCGGACACAGTCGGCAGTACCCGGACACAGTAGGTAATACCCGGACACAGTCTGCTGTACCCGGACACAGTCGGCAGTACCCGGACACAGTAGGTAATACCCGGACACAGTCTGCTGTACCCGGACACAGTCGGCAGTACCGGACACAGTAGGTAATACTCGGACACAGTCTGCTGTACCCGGACACAGTAGGTAATACTCGGACACAGTCTGCTGTACCCGGACATAGTAGGTAATACTCTGACACAGTCGGCAGTACCCAGACACAGTAGGTAATACTCGGACACAGTAGGTAATACCCGGACATAGTAGGTAATACTCGGACATAGTCGGCAGTACCCGGACACAGTAGGTAATACCCGGACATAGTAGGTAATACTCGGACACAGTCGGCAGTACCCGGACACAGTAGGTAATACTCGGACACAGTAGGTAATACTCGGACACAGTCGGCAGTACTTGGACACAGTAGGTAATACTCGGACACAGTCGGCAGTACTCGGACACAGTCGGCTGTACTCGGACACAGTAGGGAATACTCGGACACAGTAGGTAATACTCGGACACAGTAGGTAATACTCGGACACAGTCGGCAGTACTTGGACACAGTAGGTAATACTCGGACACAGTCGGCAGTACTCGGACACAGTCGGCTGTACTCGGACACAGTAGGGAATACTCAGACACAGTCGTCAGTACCCGGACAGCAGAGAGGCAGAAGTCGGACACTTCATATGTTGCTTTTTTTTAAAAATGCAATGGAATTAGAATGAAATGGCGACATTGAAAGATACACCTCATTATTAATCGTATCATACATGACTGGTTATTTTCCAGACGCTTAGTTTAACATAGCTGGTCCATCAATCGAATGTTTGCAGTAAACAATAAATATGAACAATTTAAAAAATGTATGATCAAATGTCACCCACAGTAAGCTGTTAATCATAATCTACACTGACGACATAGAATTGCGTTCAATACGTTTCTTCAACAATATACCCCGGACAAAACGTGAAAACAATATAATCCTGCTTATGACCACCGCCTCTAGTTTGGGCATCATGAGTCACCCTCTCAGTGTGAAATAGGGTTATACTGATAACGTTGTTGTCCTAGCTATTGAGCTAAAAACCTCAGTTAAGGTCTTGTTACACAGCCGATATGACGCCAGCAATACCTCAGACTACTGGTCTATGTGATGGTGGTCGCACCTCTGCACCTACATCACATCTCTGTGTATTCCCATCAAACCTGTTGTCGGGTTCAAGAACCACCATCAAGGACATGAATGTAAGTGGTATCACATGTAAAATGTGAAAAAATAACTATCTAAAGAAAGAAAATATACAAGCATTTAAATTTACAATAGCGAATAGCTATACCTTGCACTCAACATACATATGCTACACTATAATCATGTTAGGTAATTTATATCAATGTAAGATGCAAATTTATAATACTACAGTTAACTATAAATGATAGATATGTGTATATGTGTGTCTTGATAACCTGACATTATACATGTATGACCAACACTATAATGAGTCTATTTTGGCATGACCACACCCAATCTTTGAAATTTGTATAACCCATTATTGGACGAGTTGATCCTCTTCATCTTTTTGATATTCCATTGGCACTTTTAGTTTTATTTTATCACAGAGTCTAGCTTGAGGAATAACATAAGATCCAGGTGCTTTTCCTATGGACATTCTTCGAGTGGTGACTGCTTCATTTGCTTTTTTCAGATTTCAAGGTTAAGCAAAGGTTTACGTTCATGATGGCTCACTTCCTAAATGTTGTAAAATATATTAGTAGATCGAAATAAATAGAAAAGATTCTATAGATCTATATTTTAAAAATCCGTAAAATTAAAATGCAATAATAGATAATGACACACAGATAATTAAGAACATTTTTGAAGAAAATCTACTTTATTTTATGAATAGGTTGAATATGTAGACATCTAAATCTAATTACTTTATGATATACACAAATAAAGATTCCATAACTCATGCATTAAGTTATATTAATTTATATATCACTATGTACACCAAAAATAAAGTATTATACATGTATGTTAAAATGTGAAGATCTTAATTGATTCATTTAAAAAATACATGTCCGAGTACTTCCTTACCACTTTTTTCATCAAGGTATAGAACCCGGACATCGCTTTAACAGTACCTTAAAGTCCTACCTTACACCAAAGTTAAGTTAAAATGAGTCGTTTGGAAAACTCTATTTTAAGACCGAAAACAGCATTACTGAGCCATAATGTATGGAAACGTACCGTGGGCGTGGCAGTCATGTTTGAAAGGTGATCGTGGATGGTTTGTTTAGAAAGTTATCTCCAGCAGAAAAAATTATAAATGACCTGTTGGGAAAACGGATTATGCTTGCCTGTTTAGTTTGGGTATGAGCAGTTTACCTAATTTAATTATTAATTAGCTATAAATCAATGATTGGTGAGTGTCCGTCTATTACCGCTGTCCGTGTACTGACTCCCCCTCTCTGAGGGTTTTCGTACTTGTTGATCAAATGAAGAACTGTAAAACACCTCACTCACTTAGACAACTAAAGACAACTTTATCTTAAAAACAAGCCATGATCATCTGAGTACAAATAATATTACAATGTTTGTGTGACGCCACCCCTCCCTTGCTCCCTCGCCATACCGGCACCCCACCCCTCGTTATAGCGCGAGTAATCGCGATGAACATGGCAGTCCGAAAGAGTATGATGTCTGAAAGATATGTTCACTTAAAAACGATTGTCATAAATGCTTCCCTGGATGAAAGAAATCTTACCGATGTTTGCAATACGTACCGATATATGAAGCGTATGTGTGGCACCTGTATGAGATGGGGATCACAGATTGAGGCAGTACATTAGAACAGATTTCGGCTTGCACAACACCGGAATTTCCACTCCTTGCGTCACTAGTTGACTGGGTTCCTGTCTACATAAAACTAAAAGCGTTAAGCTTACGTACCAACAGTGGAACCAGTTTACACCTGAAGTTCTTGCCATCTACTGGGGAAATCCCTAATTATTGAAGAACGATAACTCTACGAAAAACTAGTGTGGCCAACCACTATCGAAAATCTGCAATAATTTTCAGGACACGACTCGCCTATAAAAATGCTATTTCATTGAATATGTTATCTTATACAGCTCATCATATAATATCCATGAGATCCAATGAAGAGCTACGCCTGTATTTCATAAATAATTAACAAGAAAGGGAGGTTTTCTTAGTAACAAGAAATATTACTCCCAGTTGTTTTCAAGATTTGTGTACGGATCCGCCAAAATATATGTACGGATTTCCGTGGGTACGGATTGTCTAGGTCCAATCCGTCACATGGGACAAACCGTACTTCCTCGTAGTAGGTAGTAGGTGATTCTGTAAATGCACCCATACAGGGCCTCATGGTCGTAACAGTACTATCGCGTTGAACGCATGGTTTCACGAGCACCCAGGGCGGAGTGGTTATAACGAGCGTTACACTTACCCATGGTTTCTCACACGTCGAAGATCTCGTCAGCTCTCCCACTTTGTAATTAATTCCTCTGTGCTAACTTGTAATGACAGAAAACAAAGGGGAAGTATTCTTCGTTTTGCAAATATCCCGTAATTAACCGAGCTATAGAAAGTTGAGCGCCACAAATACGATTAACATTTCACAATTATTTGTGTTTGCAAGTTACCACGTGAGTTTTATTTCATATATTTCTTGTTTTTAAACGCCAAGGTAAAAAAATAAGGTGACGTTTTCGTCGGTCAATAGTAGCCGTTTTCGTCTCTCGATCAATAGTTGCCGTTTTCGCCTTAGGCGAAGTTCCTTTTTCACCAAACGCTGCCGTTTTCGCTAATGCTATGATGCATCTTTGGTGACATAATCATATTTTTTAATTATAAAGTTTTCTTTATTTTCAAATATTTGTTATTCTTCCGAAATTTTGAGTTAGTTTATCGTTACTTGGATTAAATTTTCGTAATTTCAATTATTTTCTCGAAATTTCGAGTTCTTTCTCGTCATTTCGAGTATTTTCCCGTTACTTCGAGTATTTTCTCGTCGTTTCAAACTTCTTTCCAACCCTCGAAATTACTACTTTTTTCTCGTTTCTTCTATTATTTTCTTGAAACAATTTTCATCGTAACTTTCATATTTTTTCGCTATTTCAATAGTTTTCTAGTAATTTCAATTTATTTTAAAAAAAGCGAAATTTCGACTATATAAGTACCAAGAGAAAAATGTAACTTTTTTGGTTTTGAATAAAAAGTTGACACAACGACAAAAAAGCTAAAAAAATTCGAGGAAATAATCGAAATAACGAGAAAGTAAAAGATATAAGGGACTGACCGATTTTGCATGGAAATTCGATATTTCTTAAGTTACTGCTGCAATTCAAGATATATTTTCAATGAAAATAATGAGCATGAATATTGTTTTCAGGAAAACACCTTAAAACAAAGTTTTGTTGCAGACAATAGTTTTTCTGAAGCATATTATTTTTTTCAGGAATGTTGAGGGACAATTTCTTTTTTTATTTTTCGATAAAATCCCTTGGTATGATATAGATGGGAGCCATCCATGTCCACTTTGCTCGAACGTTTGGTTACTCCCGTGTTTCTGTAACTATCCTGATGCAACGTTAGAGACCGGCAGACATCAGACAGGCCTAGGACAGGCAGACCCAGGGTAACTACGCCCAATGACGATTGGTACTTGCGTATTTTGCATCTCCAGAATCGATTCCTGACAGTGCCGTCATCAGCGACGAATGCCTTGGGTGAGTCGACAGCCAGGCGACTCAGGGCTCAAGGAATTAGGGCTTACAAACCTTACAGAAGACGGCATTGACAGCGCAACATCATCGTCAGAGAATGAGATGGGTCTTGTGTGTACGTCGTTGGCGGTGACGTGACTGACAGGAGGTCCTCGTCACTGATGAAAGCCGGTTCTCTGTTCAGAGCTGATGGAAGGAATGCGTGTTTCCTGCCGAAGGGGACAAAGAACGGCGGCTTGTTGCGTTCAGGAGATCGTGCCGTATTGTGGAGTGTGTCTGGGGAGGAATTTGTGGGCTGGAGAGAACACCACTGGTCATCTTCAAAGGAAATATGACAGCTCAACGTTGCATGGATGACATTCTTCGTCAGATTGTCCTGCCATTTCAACAACAGCTGTCACGTGGTGTCGTTTATGAGCATGACAACGCCAGATCCTATAGCCCAAATCGAAACTTCCTTGCAGCCAACAACGTCAACGAGTTGCCGTGGCCTGCGTTCGCCAAAACCACCGGTGGCACCCATCACAAACACATGCTAAGGCAAGTCAAATGTTGACCTGAAACATCACGAGAACATATGGTACAAGTCAAAGTAGGGAACTGCATCGGACATAATTTTTGTCATTGATTCATCACATTCTGAAATGTCCTCCACATGCCTTCCATAACATTTTTTTTAAGTTTTACTGAGGCCTTGAATGTATATGTAACCTTGTTCGAACAACTATTGAGCAAGACTTCTATGACGCTCTTTAAAGCCGTCGGAGAAAGAACATACTCGATCATATCTCAAAAGTTGTAAAATGTAGATACGAAAGGCTGGAGCTGTTGGAATATTAGCTCGACATAAAGGGAAAACAGACTATTGGAAAGTTGAAGTCGTTCCTCTTCCGTTTCATGCAGAAAGAAACAGATAACAAAGAAGTGGAGCACCATTGTTGCCAAAGGGGATGCCTACTTCATTCCCAAATCCCCCCCCCCCCCAATTTTACATAGCTGCTATAAAGCTTTCCGTGAGTTCTGTCAAATGTTTTGACAGAATTGATCTTGGTTCTTTTCTGAGAGTGCAAAAAGTCAAAGCAAATCCTTTGATAAGCCACGTGGTGTCTAGAAACCTCATCAGGGCGATCCGGGATTCGAACCCACAAGCATAGGTTTCTGGCGTGCCCAAGGGACGCAACTCTGCACAGGGAATCGAGCCGCATTAAGCTGGGCCACCCCTGCACCCTCACACTTATACGAGTGATCGTACAGGATTTAAGGTCTCAATGGCTTATGCGTATAATGGGTGAAAACGAGCGTCTAAGTTAATTGCAAATATTGTGACCCCATTAATGGTATTAAAATTCCATCACACGAATCCAAGACTTTTCAACAAACGCGTACGTCTTTGGTTTCCTGCAATTTCGTCTACTGTGATGACGTACTTCTTCATAAAATGTCATTGTGGAATGTCCACGATCTGTTTTCATTCCAGTCCAACACACACAAATTATTCCTGCGCTTGTCGTCTCTGAACGAGAACGAAATACGTGATAAATAAGAGCAGTGTTATTAAAACATTCAAAATGATGTTTTTCACGGCACCTAACGTAATCCTGTGATGCACGGTACATTTGCAGTTTATGAATAGCACTTCTCAAAATATCCACGATAATCAGTGATATCAACAGTGTATAGTCGGGTGATAGTGTTAGTCCCGCCTACATCTGCCCAGTGGCAATGTCTTTTGACAGATTCACACTTGTTCCAAAGTTCCTCGTGCCACGTCAACACGAGAAACAGGTCCTCATGAAGGGGATCTTAAATGTTGATTCCTTTTTTGGGCATGCCGAGTGTCATTTGCATTACACATTTCGTCTGTGGGCATTGTTATGCTGCTGTCGCCACGTCATTGAACTACACGCCTGGTATGGTCATGGCAACAAGCTACACAGGTCTGGAGTACAGGTTTCACGACTGAAGGTTGGTCCTGGCAACAGGTTACACAGGTCTGGGGTACAGGTTACACAGGTCTGGAGTACAGGTTATACAGGTCTGGGGTACAGATTACACAGGTCTGGGGTACAGATTACACAGGTCTGGGGTACAGGTTATACAGGTCTGGGGTACAGGTTACACAGGTCTTGGGTACAGGTTACACAGGTCTGGAGTACATAACAAAATAAGAATACATATATACATTCATCATGCTTTAATGTTACGTGAGTTGTCGATGTCTTTCAGAGACTACAGCCCAAAAGGGACTGGAATTATTTCCTCCATCTACGACTGTGAACAAGACAATAAAAACACTACCAAATTGCACATTTTACGAGCGCCTCAATCAAATTGCAGCCATATACACTCAACACTACAAAGTCATTGACATAACAAACTACAAAGCCTCAACGTCAGAGATTAATCAGTCTCGATTATCCACCGAAACAGGTTCCAATTGGCGTAACACGCAAAATAATGGTGAAAAACTACACGAATGGATTCAATGATACTGAATATCGGTGATGACACCAGGTGTTCGCGAAAAGGTTAAGCACATCCTGCCCCACCGCCCGTCACACAATTTGCTTAAAAAAGTAAGTGTTTGTTTGTTGCCTAACGCCGCACACCAACTCTCCTGCGATGCGACTGCGACCAGACAATCAAGTGATGGGCTTAACTCCCGCATCAGAAATCTTGCAGGTATTCGCGGTGAGAAATGTCTTTGGTCTTGCCGTATGCAAACAGATGCTAAAAACCCAGGGAAATATCCTATGCATTGGTACACTGTATAAATTAAGAGTTCTATTTTATCACAGAGATCGATTTCTTCCAAGTATGCAAAAAGCATGTGTTTAAAAACTGTTCTAAGTGAGTGAATGAGTGGGTTAAAATGTAAAGTCACATTGGCAAAATGTTAACCACATCGTGAAAGTGTTCTTCATTAATAATATTATATTAAAACATGTCAGATGGACAGAGCAATAACCAGCAATATATCGCATTTTCATTTCTAAAACTTCTTTGGGAACATTTGAAAGAAGGAATGTAACAACACAAGGTGCAAATTGGCTAAAGATCGTTTGCGAAAAGTCTCCGTACAAGGGACCATTATGGAACTACGATTACCGAAGCAGGATTTACTTCAACCCTTTTGTCGCTAGTTAGCAAATTTAACCAAAAATTCAATAGGACAAATATGCAAAGATTAATACATTTGTAGATAAAACAAATGCATACATTTCACAACTTTAGAGGTACA